AGGCTTGCATGTAAAGATGCATGGGATATATTGACAAATTCCTGCTTTAGTTAGTGACTCACCCCTTGTTACATTAACATGGCATTAACAAACTGCAGCTTCTGGGAATCCTGGCTTTGTTATAAGAAAAACCCTCCAAGAAGCTCTTCTCTCATGAATCAGACAGTTGAAAAGAATTTCCAGCAATCGTCAAGGATTCCTGTTTGTATTATAACGGCTCTCTGTCCTCCCCCCAAACCAGCCATGTCCTCTCCCCCCCCGAACCAGCCATGTCCATCCCCCCCCGAACCAGCCATGTCCATCCCCCCCCGAACCAGCCATGTCGGTCCCGAGACCAGTCATGTCTCCCTCCAAACGGCTATATCCTCCCCAAACCAGCATGTCCTCTCTCCCCACTTTGAACCAGCCATGTCCTCCCTCCCGAGCTTGTCTATATCCTTTCGGGGCCATTGTGTATATACTGAGCCACGGCCGTGTGCTCCTGCACAGGCCGGCCGTGTCCTCTCCCCCAAACCAATGTGTCCTCCCAGACTGGCCAGCTGTCGCCCACCCTGGACCAGCCGTCCTCTCACCCCGAGATCAGCCATGTCCTCCCCCAAACCAGCCATGTCCTCTCCCCCACCCTGGATCAGCCATGTCCGTCCCAGACCAGCCATGTCCGTCCCCAGACCAGCCATGTCAGATCCCCAGACCATGCCATCCAGAATTCTGAACCAGCCATGTCAGATCCCCAGACCAGCCATGTCCGTCCCAGGGGTGGCCTGTCCGTCCCAGACCAGCCATGTCAGGTCCCAGACCAGCCATGTCCGTCCCCGAGACCAGCCATGTGTCCCGACCAGCCATGTCCCCAGACCAACCATGTCCCCGGGCCAGCCATGTCCCAGACCAGCCATGTCCGTCCCGGACCAGCGTAATCCAGGTCCCGAGACCAGCCTGTCCGTCCCAGACCAGCCATGTCAGGTCCCCGAACCAGCCATGTCAAAGTCCCAGACCAGCCATGTCCGTCCCCGAACCAGCCATGTCCTCCCCACCGGTCATGTCTCCCGAACCAGCCATGTCCTCATCATCTCTCCTCTGCGCCACCATAACGATCTCCATTGTATCCTCCAGATCAGCAATGGTGCACGGGCAGAAAGAGGCCATTCTACTGGCATGCAAGTCAAATGTTCATTACGCTGCAGGTATTCATAGTGCTCCCCTCATCAAAATAGCAATTATTCTGTAATACATTGCTGGATCCCCCTATAGTAAACAAAGATTATTCCCTGGTGGTCAGGTGGTCCTTCGTTTTGTAAATCTCTTCTTTGGTGCCCCACCTCACCTGACCTCTGTCCCTTTGTCTCTCTGAGACCATCTGATAGAAATGGAAGGAAGGAGGAAGCGCCCCTAGTGGCTGTGAGTAAGTTAGTCCTGCAATGCTTCCAGCTACAGGTATAAAACAGCCCTAAACGTTAACTGCCACTGCAAGCCTGGATGGGCTAATCACAAGAGGTAGACATTATTACTATATAATATTTAGAATGTTTGTTAAAAAGTCGGATTGTATTTTGACAGAGAAGATATTTCTCTTATTACAAGTACCGGAGTTACTGAATCTCAGGGTGTTTGACATCTTTTTAAATTAATCTAAAATTGGAGATAAGAATTTTAGGGATTATGTATAGCGAATTTTGTTCATGTTCACATTTGCGCCAGTTTTGTTTGAACGCGTCATTTTCTCATGTCTAAAACTGTTGCTTTCCTACATTTGTACAATTTCTGTAATGAGCCAAATCATTTCTTTCTGACACTTTTTATTCCTCTGGATTTTCTGCTCCTTTTTTTCCAGATGACTTTACCATTGATTACATTTACAAAGTTGGACAACTTACCTGGGCTCACTGGGCATTCACTGCTGCCTCGAGGAAGCTCCTGCGAACTGACCGCGCATTAGGAATCGACTGATTATCGGTCTGGCTGATATTATCGGCCAATATTCTGCATTTTCAGCAATATCGGTATTGGCCTATAAAGATACCGATATTGC